GCAAGCAGTGCAGATGTGGGCAATGCTGGCTATCATTTGTGCTTAGAGCATCAGATCACCTAGATAGAATGTAGAGAAGAGAGCCAAGGAGAGAGTGCTGAGGAGTTCCCACAGTTAGAAACCTGGTATTGGCAGAGGAATGACCAGCAAAGGAGAAAGATGGAACAGCTAGAAGATAGAAAGAAGAACCATAGAGTGCTTTGCATGTAAAGCAAGAAAGTATTTCAAAGAGGAGAGAGTGGTCAACCAGTGTAAATGCTCATTTTAAGATGACAGTCACATCACCACCAACAAAGAAGCATGGTGTAATATACCTCATCTCTTAAAAACAAAAACAACCAGGGCATGGGTTACAAGCCTGTAATCCCAGATTAAGGCAGGAGGATCACACATTTAAGCCCAAACTGGACAGTTTCGTGACTTAGTGAGACCCTGTCTCAAAAATAAAAAAACTCAAAAAGGGCTGGGGATGTAGCTCAGTCCAGAGGCCTTGAATTTAATACCCAGTAACACAGACACCCCACAGTCTACACCCCACATTTTCCTCTAACTGCTGCTCCTTTTCTCTATATCCTTTCATGTAAATATCCTCATAAAAGGGGTGATTGATTCACCTCTCCTCTTTCTTAGCTTTAGTCCATTTCAGCTTTCTCACCCACACTCAACTGAAACCACTCTAAAAGGTCATCAGAAGCTGCCACTTTGTCAGATCGTTTCACTTGGCCATCTCCATCCTGCTTAATCTGTTGGTAGTATTAATTTACTCTTTCCGGGGCTGGGGATTTAGCTCAGTGGCACAGCACCTGCCTGGCAAGCGCAAGGTCGTCAGTTCAATTCCCGGTACTGGAAAACAAAACAACAACAAAAAATTTACTCTCTCCTTGAAAAATTTTGCTCTGGGTTTTCATGACACCATTTTCTGCTAGAACTGTCCCACCTAATGGCTGCTGTTCATGAGTCAGCTTAGCTGGTTTTGTTTTGTTTTGTCTGTGGTGCTGGGGATTGAGCCCCCCTTGGTAGGATTGCTTATCTACCTTGCCCGAGCTAGGTAAGCAGTCTACTACTGAGTTACATTCCCAGCCCTTTTTGCATTCTATTTTATTTTGAGACAGATTCTTGCTAAATTGCTTGCTAACTTAGGATCTTCCTTCCTTAGCATCCAGAGTTCCTGGGATTACAGATGTGAACCACTACTCTTGGCTTTAGCTGATCTCTGTACATAAATAGAAACTTTAATATAAATCCATCTGGGTTCAATCCACAGCACTGCAAGTAATAATAATTTAAAATCCAGTTATATTTTGCCTCTGTTCAGGTTCCTCCAATCACGTAGTTTTCTTATCACATTCAAGAATTAACCTTCCGACTGGCAGCTCGCTCCCTGCCTCATGGCCCCCGGAGGGAGGGCCTCCGGTGCATGGGGAGCCATGGGCGGGGAGCGCCTGTCTTCCAGCTGGCTCACTTCCTGCCTTGTAGGCCCCCGGAGGGAGGGCCCCCAGCACATGGGGAGCCATGGGCGGGGAGCGCCGGTCTTCTGACCGGCAGCTCGCTCCCTGCCTCGTAGGCCCCCGGAGGGAGGGCCCCCGGTGCACGGGGAGCCACGGGCGGGGAGCACTGGTCTTCTGGCTGGCTCACTTCCTGCCTCATGGGCCCCCGGAGGGAGGGCCCCTGGCGCATGGGGAGCCATGCACCCGAGAGCACTATGGTGCGCAGGCCTTCAGGCAGGCTGCCTCTGCTCAGGTGAGAACTATCATGACACAGAGAAACAATGACACAATTGGCCCACCATGCACCAGCTGCAGATGCCCACCTAAGGACGTGTGTGAATCATTCAAACATGGAAAAACCCCTGGGAATACATGCTATACAACGGGCCACTCTTGCTCCTGCCATTGAGAACCAGAAAGGTCTAGAGTAAGCAGAGGAGCAGCTGCTGAACAAGGACTCAGAGAACATGAGAATGCAGACTAAGCCCGAGGGGTCAGAGGTCCTGTGGACTGGGGTCATGAGAGCCGCTCCGAAGCTGTAAACCAGGAGGACCTTGCACAGTACCTGCAGAGACTCCCTGGAAGCCATTCTTCCCCTGACAGTACAGCCTGTGGTGGAGCCCCGGAGAAGTCTGCAACAGGATTCCTGTTGCCTGTGCTTACAGTTGGGGAGAGGACACTAACTGGTTGTGGGGTCCCAATGTGATGGGAGGCTGGAGAGAAAACGCTACAAAAAATGGCTTTCGCCCCAGACGGCTCACTTGATTTTTGACAACCCTTAGGCTGTAACTACTTGTTAGATCCTTCTTGCGTATCTCTGTCTTCCTGAGAAACCACTTCTAAGATACCACCATGTATTATAGCAGTCATTGATATTTTCCTACTAATCTATCCATAACTCTGCAATGTTGTTCCTATCCTATTTCATAAATGGATGCATGTTTATTATCATGTGTTTCCTATAACAACCATTGAGAATAGTTAATGATTATTCAATAGGTCACTCATGTATAGTTCTATTTATTTTCTTTCAAAGATATCTAAGTAGAGTACAACAACTATTGATAATCTTCTACCTCTTTTGTCTGTAACTCACTAGTATTTGTCTATTTGTTTTCCTGAGAAACTATCTTGTAGATAACAATATGTAAAACAATAACCATTGATAATTTCCTACCACTTTGTCTGTAATTTGGTAAGCCCCCCCCCATTACTGTTATCCTTCTTTTACTCTTTAAAATAAAAAAAAAAAGAATTAAACCCACACTTATTGCCATGACATACAAAACATATTTTTTGACTCCTGCCCACCTCTCTCACTGTTCTGTCTACTATATTGGTCTTTCCTGACCCTGTCAAGTTCATAAAGACTATTATGCTTGTTTTTCCCTTTACCTAGAAAATTCTTTAGCCAGATTTTTGCATAGTTTACTTCCTCTCATTATTTAGAGCTCTGCTTAGATACAACCTCCTCCAAGATGTCCCCAGACCACTTTATCACTGTCTTCCCCATCCATCACTTTGCATCACCTAACCATTCCTCCTTCTGTTGTTGTTGTTCTTCCTCGTCTCTTCTTCCTCCTCTTTCTTATCCCTCCTCCTTCCTCCCTATCTGAAATTTTATGTTTACTTGTTTATAAACAGCGCCCTTCCCTTTCTCCACAGAATGTAAGCTTTCTGTCATTTATCTGCCTAAGCACTTCTGTATACTCAGTGCCAGGAATAGTGCCTGACATGAAATTTGGTCTATAAAAATTTTTAAATGAATGCTATCAGATAAAAACGGAAATGTTCTATTGGAGTTGGCAATATAGAATTTGTTAGTGTCCCTTGCTGAGCAGTTTAAACGGAGCACTGAGGGTGCAAGTCAGAGCAGATAAACTAAGGAGAACCTGGGGGTAAGGTTTTAGAGAAAAGAAAGTCTGGCACATTGGCACACAGTTATAATCCCAGGTACTTGGGAGGAGTCTTGAGGTGGGAAGATCATGAATTCAAGACCAGCCTGAGCAATATAGCAAGACCTCGTCTGAGATGAGGGAAGGAGGGCTGGTCGGGAAAGACAGCTGTTATGAGAAGTTTCGCTTAGAAGAGAGGGATGGAGCTAATGGTATCTGGAGGAGGATAAGTGAGGTCAAGGAGATAAGTCTTTGAGGTGACAATAATGGATATAATTGAGCCTACATGACAGAATTGACTTTTATAGGGAGAGACATTTCCCCAGTGGCAAAGGTAGCTATAAATAACTCAGGCTGGTTGTATAGTTCATGGCAGAGGTGAGAGTGGAGGAGGATAAGTTCTAACAATCATGGGTATGAAAACTGGGACAAGGTACAGGGTGGAAAAAGATCCAGGCCCTATAGGATTGGCAGGAGGCTTGCCTGTCTCCAGATCAAACATTGCTATGCTTGAGATTCTGGCAAAAGGTGTCTGAGGGAGCAAAATATGGGAAAGAGAAAGAAGGGAGTACCTAGCAGTTTGGTACCTCAGAGAAAAGAAAGGTAAGCAATCTACCACTGAGTTACATTCAGTGGTACCTCAGGGTCTGGTAATATCTCTTTGTCTCAGTTAGTAATCTTATTCATTGTGCCAGGAAGTCATGTGGGTTTATGATAGAGAAATTGCCTTTTAAATCCCACATGGTAGTTCAGGCCTATAATTCCAGCACAGGGAGCCTGAGGCAGTAGGATCATGAATTTAGGGTCAACCTAGGCAGTTTAGCAAGATCTTGTCTCAAAGAGAAAGAGAAATACCCTCTTTCCATCCTATAGCCTGCTTTTTTTTATGTTATAATTTAAAATATTTTTTAAAATGAGGTTTTGTTACTCATATATATAAGCTATATTATATGTTATATGTGGCCCAGGACAATTCCCTTTCACTCAGCATGGTGGGCTGGAGGCTGAACACACCTTGAGATGGACCCCATTGAGGCTGGGAGAGAGTAGTGCGGTGTTGGCCCTGCACACCCAGCTTGCCATCGTGATTGGATGTGTTTATTATAGTGTGTGTGGTACTGGAGCTTGAACCCAGGGCCTTGCACATGGTATACAAGTACCCAATCACTGAGTTACATCTCCAACCCTTTTTATATATTTTATTTTGAGACAGCATCTAAGTTTCCCAGGTTGGTTTCAAGCTTATGTTCCTACTACTTAACTTCCAGAGTAACTAGATTTTAAGTGTGCATTACCACACCCGACTCTTGTAGTACTTTTTACATGCCAGGTACTGTTTCGGCTCAAAAGAGATAGCAATGAATAAAACAATTCCTGCCTTCAGAAAACTTTTATTCTAACTTACAGAGACAGAGTAAGCAAATGTATGATATCTCCGCTCATGTCACTGACCGTGTATTCCTTCCTCCCTTCACCCCTGCCCCATAGCTCTGGGATGGCAGGGCGAGGTGGGATAGTGCTCTCCCCTCCCCTTCTGTATCCTTTCATCTGTAGGAGCACTGAATGAGCCCTTCATTGCACAACACAGTGATGACTTGTTCTCTTCTCTTGGTTTCAGATGAGACTTCAATTATTGCAGTGATAGTAGCCCTGTCCTCTCTGCTCGTGATTGTGTGTATCATCATACTTCTGTACATGTTAAGGTAGGTGCTAATGTTCCTGCTTTCCTTTAGACTACCTCAGTGCCCTCTTGTCTCAGTAAGCCTACAGAGTCCAGAGGACGGTAGGCTAAGGGCAAGTTAGGTAGAGGAAGAATGATTCCTGGTAGTGTTAAGGTTAAAATTTTACTGAGAAATAGTTTTAAAACTCTATAGTCTTTTGCTTCCATGTGTCCAAACCCAGGCTTCCAACTCTGCTTCACCCTTAAGCCTAGAATGGGGTCTTGGCCATTAGATGAAAAAGCCACAGTCTGTGTTGTTAGTGACTAATGTGTTAGGATCTTCAGCGGTAGCCCTGTGCAAATAACCCCCAAGGGTACCAGTAAGTTTACATGCTCAGTAAAAACTAACTGGAGGACTGGGAATGTGGCTCAGTGGCTCAAATGGGGAGCAGAATCAAGAGAAGGAATCAAGAAAGACGGTGCATTTGTTCTCTTCCTGCTAAAGCTATTGCCTTGACTACCTGGGTCTAAGTCTGACTTATCTTTGACTTACCCTGCTTATTGCTCCCTCTCTTCATCTGCAAGAATAAAGAGGGGACCTTATGGACCCTTACAACTTGGCCTGTCTCTATCATTTCATAGGAGTCCTGTGACCACCCAGTCTGGAGCCATATTCTCCCTGAGGCTCCCAGACTCACTGGGGAAGCACCAGCGTTTTTGCTTTATATAGATCTTCTGTCTTCCCCACTGTATTCCACTCACTGTTTTGCCTCCTGGTGTAGCTCTGCTGTCTTTCAGGTTCTGGACTGAGAGCTGACAGAATAGACTGGTGGTGTTACTTGGGTTGGCTTCTATTGTGCCTGGGTTGGCTTCTTCTGTGAAGCAGGAGCAAACCAGAGCTGCAGAGCAGGGGGCTGGGGATTTAGCTCAGCGGCAAAAGCGCCTGCCTGACAAGCGCAAGGTCATGAGTTCAGTTCCCGGTACCAGAGAAAAACCAAAAAAAAAACAAAAACAAAAACAGAGCTGCAGAGCCAGCAGCTCTCCTGCCTCTGTGCTTAGTTTTTCATTTCAAACATTTTCTCATTAGGTTTAAGAAATACAAGCAAGCTGGGAGCCATTCCAATTCTTTCCGCTTATCGAACGGCCGCACTGAGGATGTGGGTAAGGCATGGGGGACCTTTGTGGGGAAGAAAACCAATAAATTAGAGGTTTCCAATCCTTTTAAAAGAATGAGACTATTTTAAAAAATAAAATAAAATAAAAAAAACTCTTGAAATGACAGCTGTGGTTTTTTAGAGGCTTGTTCCTTGGGCTAGAATCCCCAAGTTAGTCTCCAGAAAAAGCTGCATCCAGAGCACCTGCCTGACCTTCACCTTTGTGCACTGCAGAGCCCCAGAGTGTGCCACTTCTGGCCAGGTCCCCAAGCACCAACAGAAAGTACCCACCACTGCCTGTGGACAAGCTGGAAGAGGAGATTAACCGGAGAATGGCTGATGACAATAAGCTCTTCAGAGAAGAATTCAATGTGAGTTCTTTTTTGAGGCTGATTTATAAACAGAGAAGGCAGACCTAAGGCTGTGCCTTTTGAGACATAAGGTAGAAAGCAGGTTGCTATTTGTTAAGAGGTGAGAAATTGTTACCAAGTTCATCTGACTCTTCCTGTGTGACCAAGAACAGGATGTAAAGGTTTTGCTTGGCCCCCATCAATCCATCACTCTATTCATCCATTCATCCTTGCAATTGTTACTTCATTTGTTTAATAAACACTTACTAGGCATCTGATATGTTCTAGGTAGTATGCTGGATGCCAGCAACTTGATCAGGAGCAAAGAAAGGTCCAGTCCCTATTCTCAAAGAATTCACTGCCAGGTGTGGGAACCTCCACAAACAAGAACAAAAGTAACTATAAATTTAAAGTAGCCGGGCATGGTGGTACATACCTGTAATTCCAGCACTTGGAAGGCTGAGGCAAGAGGATTGCCATAATTTTGAGGCCAGCCTGGACTACAGAGTGAGTCCCTGTCTCCAAAAAAAAGAATTCAAAGCACAATACAGGACATGAAGGACTGGTACAAGTTGTAGGACCCCCCGAGATGACCTTTTAGAGTGTAGAGTAGAGGCCCCTGAGTGTGTAAAGTAGGCATAGGAATAGGTCAGTGTAAAAAATGGGGACTATGACAGACTACAGTGCACAGGTCTTATCTTGAGATGTGTATTTTTTAATTAAGTTTTTTGGTACAGTTTAGACTTGACCACGTTCATCATATGGAATTTGTACCCATACATGATATACCCCTATTCTGAGATTTGTATTTTTATAACTTTTCAAGGAAGCAGAACCTGTATAAGCCACCAGTTTGTGATCCCCGTCAAAATGAGCTTCCTTGAAGAAGCAGAAATAGCAAGAATGGGAAGTGGGGGACAGGGACATTCCAGACCCTGGAAATAGCAGGAACAAATTGTCAGGAGTGAGGGAAGGGTACATTCAAAAAATTAATCTGTGTGGTGGAGGGCCAGAGACTGAAGGTAGTAGAGTAAAGATGAAATTGTGAAAGAGGGCTGAGCTAGACCACTGATCTCACAGATTGCCAGGAGAGAACTGAAAAGTCATGGCCCAATTAGATTTGGGTTTTGAGAAAATGATTCTGACTGCTTTATGGAGAATAGTCCACAGGAGGCCTGAATTGTGCAAGGAAATACAGTTAGGGGCTGCAGCAGTTGTTAAGACTAAAAGAGCTGGTAGATTGACCTCAAATGTCAGTAGTGAAGGAAGGAGGAACGGATTTAAGGACTTAGCAGATCAGTTCTACAGTTGGCCAGTTCATTGGCCAGGGCATTGCTAAACTGTTTCACATCTTCCCACTGTGCTGTGTCAGCTTTGTCTCCTAGTTGGGACGCGCGCATTATGCCAGTGGTTGCCCCAGTTCTAGGCATCCTGTGGAGGTACAGTGAAGTCCAGTGGGAAAAGGATGTCTGTTGCTTCTTTTTATTGATGAGGAACTTTTTCCCTAGAGGCTTCTGCAGACTTCCCTTGTTACATGCTCCTCCTTAAACCAGTCAAAGGGACTGGGTGTGTAGTACAGTGGTACAGTATATACCAAGTATGCATGAGGCCCTAGGTTTGATACCTAGTACCATAAAGAAAAAGGAATTAAACCAGTCATGAGCAAGGAAGAAATAAGACTACTATAGCTTACTAAGACCAATCCATATTATTCCTAGGTCTAGGTGGAAAACCCCACAGAGGGAGAGCTCTGATAGCAAGAAGGAACTGGCTTGGTTGGTCATCACTCATATCTGCTCTACTGCCATAGGATCAGATTTGTACCTTGAAGAAATGATGAACTTGGAGCCAGCTATGATGGCACATGCCTGTAATCCCAGCATTTAGGAGGCTGAGGCAGGAGGATTATCATAAGTTCAAGGCCAACCTGGGCTACACAGTCAGTTCAAGGCTAGCCTGAACTATGTAGCAAGACCCTGGCTCAGAAAGAAAGAGAAAAGAAAGAGGGGGAGGGGGAAGGAAGGAAGGAAGGATAGAAGGAAGGAAAGAGAAAAAGAAAAGAAAGCGAAAAGGAGAGAGAAGGGAAAGAAAGAAAGAGAAGAAGAGACAGGAAGGGAGGGGGAAGGAGGGGAGGGGGAAGGAAGAAGGAAAGGAGGGAAAGAAAAAGAGAAAATAGGTGAGGGAAGGAAGAAAAGAAGAGAAACAAGAAAGAAACCATTGACTTTGATTGATATACAGAATAGATGGAAGTGGGAGGTAAGATTTGAAGCTGGAACCAGTTACCAGCCAAGATTTAATGGAATAACTTGGGTCCTTTTCTTTGGCTGTTGGGAAAAACAACAACGTTTAATACAGTAAAGTATTTTTAGAACATTTGCCACATCTCACAGGACTGCACCCCAGCTGCAGCTTCACAACTGGTCTGTGGTAGTTATTGTACAGTATTATAATCTGTGATACCAACTACTTCTGTGTAACGAGTCTATGATCCCGTTACCATATTCCTGCGCATTTGTGAAATGAGTTCTTTGTAGTTGACTTCCTGTGGTCCCATCACAAAGCATTTTGCTAAATCCTTGGAAGATGGTGGTATCCCAAGACACATAATAGGCAAATTCAGACAGATACGGTGGTATGGCCAACATATTTATGAGCTCATCAGGCCAGTACTGGGATAGCAAAGAAAAGACTGACCAGCATTGCCTGAGTTCTAAGCTGTGCATGCTATCTAGGGAGCATTCACATAGAGCATAAATATTTTCTTTTGTTCCAATTACTCACTACCTTGAGATCAGTTTAGACTCTGACCTCCTGTGAGACAGAGTGGTCACTTGCTTGAAGTTCTGTTCACTGGGACAATTTCTCTCTATACTCATTCAGAGCTGTCACTTAAGTACAGCATGCTACCTCACAGCAGTGTATTTCAGCATGGACCAGCATATCATGTGTACACAGATCAATGTGTGTACGAGGCTGGACTTTTCTTCCTTAGTGAGCTATTGACATCCTGAGGAAATCCGAAGTGTCTGTCAAAGGAATGAATTTATGGCAGGCCACACACATCTTTTCCAGCTGTGGTACAATTCTGCCAAGCATGTGCAAATTTGTGTGTTACTGTCTATAAAAAAATTTGTGTCTTACTGGGGCCATGTAATACCTAGTTTGGGAAACTGACATCATTTGGATACCTAGTATCCTGTGGTCAGGTTTACAGTCTGTACTCTAGGATCCAGTTCTAAGGTACAAGCATGGTATTACTGACAAGATCATGGTCTTATTTCCATATCATGAAAGTTTTCATGATTCTCCTGCTCAGCCTGACAGTTTAGAAACTGTACCACAGCCAATTTTCCCTATCCTACATCAGTGGGAGAGCCTTTTTTTTTTTTTTCCTGATCTCAATAAATGGGTCAGGGGCTGGGGATTTAGCTCAGCGGCACAGAGCCTGCCTGACAAGCACAAGGTCATGAGTTCGGTTCCCGGTACCGGAAAAAACAAAACAAAACAAAACAAAAACAATAAATGGGTCATAGCAGAATACTGACATGCTGTCTCCAAAACCCAAAGTGACCCAGCGAGCATTCCTCCTCCCTTGTATTGGGAGAAGGGTAGTGGAGCAAGGAACAGCAATTTGTCCTTTATTTTGAAGATTTACTGGCATGCTGCAAACCTTTGACCTTTAGAAAACTTGTTTGAGGTGGCAAGCCGCTGCTATTTTATATCTGGCATGTATATCTAAGGAACATAATTCCTATTTTTCAAGTTCTTTCGGCTCAACGTCATTAGCGTGGTTGTAAGGGTGATACCCTATAAAACAGTGAGATGAAGCCCTGATGAACCAGATCACAGCACAGAGAGGTCAGAAAGATTTGTCCATGAGGCAGCTCCTTTCACACGAGGAAAACTGCTTCAGGTGGTTTGTGTAACATAAAAAGAACATATACTTGACCCCTTACTAGGAAGATTCCAGGTACTTAGAAATTATATGTTCATAGAAGAAAGAAGAGTTACTAGGAAAGCAACTGCAAGCCTACAGGTCCTTTTTATTCCATTTACCATAATCCACTGAGTTTCTTTTGTGTTAATCTGTTCGGTGGCTTTCAGGAGAGGTAAAATAGTTATTGAGCACTCATTCCTTGCCATTGCTGAATTCAGAGATGTCATTGGAGTATCTCATCATTGTTCACTATATTATCTAGCTTGGCCTCAAACTCTTACGCTCAAGAGGTCCTCCAGCTTTAGCCTCCTAAATGCCTGGGACCACAGGAACATGCCACCGCACCGAGCTATTCTGCAGCTTTTAAGTCTTCTGTAGCACTTAAGATCTCTGCTAGTCAGCTAAGGACTTGGCATTTTGATAAAGAGAGATCACTGCTCCAGAAGTTTGCATTTGCTCTTTCTTTTCTTTTTTTTTTTTTTTTTTTCTTTTTCATTTTCTCTTTCTATAATGGCCTTTATCCAGGGAATTAAGAGAGCAGTGTGGATATTCTGCTTGTATCTCCTAATATGAGGACAGTTCACACCAAAATTCTTTCCATTCTTACATACAATGGTGTCTTGGGTTCCCAGGAACGTTACTGTAAGACCAGAACCCAGTAAACCCCAATGCATTTTCCTTTACCCAGTACAGTTACCATAATAAATGATTACAGATTCTTGCAGGAAAATGAAGAGGAAGGTTGGTGGTATATGAGTGTTGATATACTATGGTTTGTTTCTTCCTCACAAGTGCCTGGTCTTCCTCTTATTAGGGTTCTGGGTCAGTGAAATGATAGAAGGCTAGGAATTGAAGGAGAGAGGCCCTTTATAAAGCATGCTAGTCTCTTGGGTGCACTCAAGTAAGCTTGTGTGGCTGCCTCCTATTTCCATCATTCTGCAAGATGCTAGTGCTGTCCTCATGAGTGTAGGCCCTCCAGCAAGGCACATGTATAGATCTTATTCAGGACCTAGTGAAGGTGTCTATAGAAAGGTTGAGCTTCTAAGAGCCCATATAATACTCTGATCTTGTCTACTTTGTGCCA